CGGGTCTCGAAACTAATGAACGGAATGTAATTCAAGTCATTTGTGTAGACAATGATTAGGTCGACACTCGTCGCTAATATCATGAGAGATAAGACGACACCGAAGATGACAATAATAGCGAGTTGTAGTGAATTGAATTTTGGCAGTACTTTCGTGTGACAGTCATTGATAGTCAGATTCATGTGGCTCTCAGATATAACTGTCGAATAATAAATTATATTAGCAATCGATTCATACAAACGCTATGAATATGCTATGAATGGATAATAACTTACATCTCTTGAGAAACGAGTGGAAGTCATTTTTGCTACACAGCGATGGTATGCATATACCGGTGCGACCATACCTTTCATAGAAAGCATGTGCCGATAGAGAGAACTCTTCCAAAAACTATTAGTTTAATCAAATTTTAAGACATTACCAACAAGTTTATTAGACACTATTTGAATTAAGAGTTATCATACCGTTCCCGAGACTGGTGTACCCGTAAAGTTAAACACTGGTGTGCGAAGTGTCATACGTTTTGGTTTGGGTGGTAAAGCGATCTGGTATTTGACAACACAGTACTGACCAATGAATGGCACGGCTAGGTTGGAGTCGGACTCGATGGACAGGCACTGATCATATGCGCCTAAATTAGTGATCGTGCCGTCCAGACTACCTTAAAAGCGATCTGGTATTTGACAACACAGTACTGACCAATGAATGGCACGGCTAGGTTGGAGTCGGACTCGATGGACAGGCACTGATCATATGCGCCTAAATTAGTGATCGTGCCGTCCAGACTACCTTCTGTGAAGGGTCGCCCCGAAGAGTCATACACTAGAAATTACATATCAAATTAGATCACCACAAGAGTTATCAGATTACCACAAGAGTTATCATCAAATGTCTCACATTTTACGGCCCAATCCTTCTGTTGCTTAAGACCCGAAACGGTGGCGAATAAACCGGACAAACAGTCCAGTGATATGTCAGAGATGTCCGCATCCGACGACTCCATTATCTTTGGCGTAATATCTTTGACGAGTGCGTCAAACACTCGGCCCCAAGACTTGCTGTACGCGATCCACACGTCTTTGGCCTCACTGTCACTCTTGGAGTCATTGAGCTCTTCGTTGAACACATTCCTGGTCTCCAACAGGAACTTCATCCCCGAGTCCAGGAATTTGCTCAGACTTTGGTCCAAATCCTGTTGCTGTCTGACTCTTGTCTTTTGCGGAACAGCTTCTGATAGCGACAGCTCTTCTTCGCTGTCATCAAACTCGTCCTCTTCATCACTGTCGTCGACCGAAGAATCACTTCTCGAAGAACTCTTACTTAATGTCACATTCAGATCATAATTATCTGCACTTTCGTTAAAATTGCTTATATTTTGAAGGACAGGCAGGTCTGTGCCGTTAATGCCCTCACCATCACCACCACCTAACCCATCCGTGTCCTTGAGCCAACTTTTAGCGAAAGTATTGTTTGACTCAATTTCGGTCACATTTTGAGCGAAAGTGTTTGTAATTAAAAGTGAGACACAATATAAATATAAAATAATCGAGAAATTAAACATTTTATAACCAATTTGATGAATTTAATTAAAATTTAAACTTTAACTTTAACTAGACCAAAAACAAAATGACTTAAAATCGCAAATTCTAACTCTTTTACTGAAGCATGAAATTCATTTCATGTTATAATGTAATCATTTCTTATGAAAGTTTTATATTCACAGATTATTTGTGGCACACGTTTAGTCAAATCATTTGCACTAAACATTCACTTCTGAAAAGTGACAAAAAAGATCTTTAGCTGTGTTTAAGTTCAAGGAATTGAAAAATATGTCAAAGATTTACAAATAGGCGAACCAATAGATAATACCGGAAAAATAGCACTCATATAAAGTTCACATCTATTTTTTGATGCCATTTATAGCACTTATATATTGCACTCGAGATTATCCTAAAGCCCATTAAACTCGTGGAATCTATATCTACTTATAAATGATTTTTAATGGCTTTTCGAAAGCAAATACTAGTGAAACAAGTGATTCATTGCTGGGATTTACTAATGAAAATAAAATATCAATACTGTATAGCGATACAAAGTCTTATTGTTTTGATAATACTTTTTGACACTGAATTCAAAAGGATTTTCACCAAAAAAATCAAGTTTGAGTGACTTATGTTTAGTATTTTTATGTTTAGTATTTAAACAAATAATTGGTACATACATGCATTTGATGTTTAATACTTTGTAATTACAGACTTTTCCAAACAATTAAAAGTTACTTAAATTATTACTTAAGTTACTTATTAAAAGAATTTTAGCATGTACTGGTATATTTTGTAAGTGTATAATAGTATAAATAAAAATTTAATATGATTTTTTGGCAAACATGGAATAATTTCTTAGTCAACTTTTTTTATTCAAATATTTACAATTTATTTAAATAAACAAAATAATTAGATTTTAATTATTACAAATTAATGTATTATTTTACAAATGATTCTTTGGCTTTAATGTATGAATATTTAGCATAAATATTATATTAATTCAAATAAGATATTAATCACACATATTATTACCTAATTTATAATTAATCATACAGTCTGTCTCTCTTTGTAATTTAAATTATTATTATTACTTTTCTTTTTATTATGTATAAAACTATTACCAATCTCTAATAACCAAAACAGTGCACTTGTAATACCCAAACAGCCCAGGATATAAAACAGTATATCGTACTGACCCGTCCAATCCTTCACACCTATCATCAGTTTAGATTAATATGATTAGTAAACTATTTAAAATGTTTTCAAACTATTTAATTGTAATGCAAATAATTAAATCTCTGTTGATAATATGATCGATGCCTATACTGTACTGTACTCCACAGTGTCCACACACTTTACAATAGATAACAATCATATAAACAACACATGAAATATAGAGCGCATATATTATGTATACCTATGAGTAGTGGTCTAATTATAATGGTTAGGGAACCGCATATAAAGTTGGATAAACCGAAAGCGACGGCCGTTTTATCAGAGCCTAAATACTCTGAGAGTACGACTGCGGGTAAAACCATTTGACATCCGGTCACAAAACCACAAATCAGTGTCAGCGCAGCGAATACCCCGAAACTGTTCGCCAAAGGCATCAGTAGTAGAGAGACTCCCATCGCAGCGATGGATAAGACAAAGATGTTTCTGTTGCTAATGTAGTCGAGGTATGAAACCCAACCGGGGATTAGTCGCCCAAACAAGTCGGTTATGGAGTACAGGGATACGAGTAGTGTTCCCTCGTGTGCTTCAAAAATAGACACAATTGTTAATATTATGCTTATTATGTAAGCTGTCGCTAGAAATTAGGACATCCACTCCCCCTTCAATCTCTCTATATTTTGCTGTCACAAAACATTTGTATTCATTTATTCATAAGAAAAATCCTAATAATATGTTATTT